TATTTAAGACTCTGCACAAACTGTAAGGGTAAATATTTTATCAAAGAGATAGATAAACATTGGAGAAGGTAGAGAGAGTAAGCCACTTGTCTTCGGTCAAAAAACTAGTAACTGCAAATCTATTGTGCTTTCTTCTGTTCTGCTAAGTAATCCCCATCATGAATTTTTGTTCCTGGATAGGTAATGGGGGCAGTGTCACATTTACCTTCTGCCTTATAAACTAAAATTGCATATACAATATATGAAACAATGGTTATAAGACATTGGAGATCAGATAATTAAAACAGTGACCTCTGAGAGACAATGAAATGTGGTGATCTCTGTGATTGTCTGAGGCTGCTTACTGGAGAGGGTTTCCAGGCCTTAGTCCAGAGTAGGAGACTCAGAAAAAGCATGGTATTCTTTCCAAGAAAAGACTGACCTAGGAAACTGTGAAGACTATGGCAAATAAAGTTAATATTTCTGAGTATCAGAAGGAAGGAATCTGCACAGGAAAAGAACTTCAGAGATCTGTGGATGAGATCTCCAGAGATTGCTATAATTATTTATCTGAATACTGATGTCTGTATATATAAAGGAAAACCATCTGAGTATTATAAGTAATCTGTGGAGCTCACACAGGGCTAGAAATAACTCCTTTCCCCACCAGGCAGAGGAGGAAAAACTGATACATAACAGAGTACTGGATAATCAGAACGGTTTTACCTTAATAGTGGAGAAAAATTAGCCTGAGGCTTACTTTGGTCCTGCTGAACAGTGCTTAAAAAGCAACACCTAAAAGGATAAAAATTTCCCAAGGTACTTACCTTCTTCTCAGAAAAAAGCTTCAGAGTATTATTTATAAGAATAAAAGTGCATATCTCTAAATATGTGAAAATTCACAGTGTTCCATAGCCATAGAAAAGCCAGGTATGCAGCAAAGCAAGAAATATGATGCTTAAATAACACAAAATATCCATAGCAGTGGACACAGAACACTTGCTGTGAAAGCAAGACCTGAATTCAAATCTCCAGTATCCATGTAAAAGCCAGGTGCCATGCCTGTAAGCCCAGTTCAGAGACAGAAACAGATGGACCCCAGGAGCTTCTTGGACAGTCAGCCTCACTGAAACAGTGAGAGACCTTGCTGCAAAAATTAAGGTGGAAAGTGAAAGAAGACACTTGATGCCCTCCTCTGGCCTCAGCATTGGTATGTGCACTCCTCCTGCCAAGGTCATATATACCACCCTTCCCCACACACATAGGCACATTAAATAAATAAATATATCATCTAATCCAAAAGGGTCTGGAAGTGAGACATATAATTAATAGATAAGTGCATTAAAATATGATGAAAACTGATTTCATATGCTCAAGTGGCAAAAGAAAAGACTGACCTTATTTAGTAGAAACACAAAAGAAAAACAGCCAACCAAATTCAAAATTCTAGAGATTTAAAAATATTTCATTATTTTTATTTTATGTGTAAGAGTGTATTGCTTACATGTATGTATGTGTACCTGTGTTGTGCAATGCCTGGGGAGGTCAGAAGAGGGCACTGGATCCCCTGGAACTGGAGTTATGGACAGTTGTTAGCTGCCAATGCTCTTAACTATCTCTCCAGCCCCCAAATTCTAGAGATTTAAGCTATGATATATTAGTTGAAAATAATCATTGGATAAGACTGATGTCAAGTTAGACATTGCAAAAGAAAAAGTGAGCTTTAAAATGTAGCAATAGAAACTACCTAAAATGAAATAGCCAGAGAAGGTTGAAAAAGAATCGTTGTGAATACAAGTGGTCTCTGAGAAAACTTTAAAAGGCCTAACAGAAGCCTAACTGTAGTGCTGAAAGAAAGGACAGAGGGAAAGGAACAAACAAACAAACAAAAAACCGCAGTATTTCAATAAAGGGCAAATAATTTTCTAGAATTGTTGAAAGCTCACAAATCCAAGAAGTTGAATGAACTCCAAGCACAGGAAACTATATCAACACTCATAATAACTGAATTATTTAACACCACTAATAAAAGAAGTTATCTTAAAAGTAGCTGTATATGCCAGGTACATGCCTTTAATTCTAGCACTCAAGAGGCAGAGGCAGGTAGACTACTGTGAGATGGAGGCCAGCCTGGGATGGTCTACACAGTGATTTGCAGGTCAGCTGGGGCTATATAGTATAACCCCCCAAACAAAACAAAACCCCATGTAGGTGTATATAAGACACATTACGTACAGAGAAACAAAGATAAGGACAATACCATATTTACTGTTGGAAACAATGCAATTAAGAAGATAGTGGAAAAATATCTAAGAGAAAAGAAAAAGAAAACTCCATTCTGTCAACCTAGAAAATCTATGTCTAGAAAAAGATCTTTCCAAAAGAAAATTAGAGTAAATATTGGTTTCTCTTCTTTTGAGACAAGTTCTTGCTGTATCACCCAGGCTGGGCTCAAATACATGATCCTCTCTCCTAAGTCCCCTGAACACTGGGATTAATTCTTTTTGAAATATACAAAGTATGAAAGAGTTCATCTGGAACAGACTTGTGCTATGAAAGATATTAAAGGAAATTAAAGTGCTGGGAAAATGACACCAAATGGAAATCTGAATCTATACAAAGAAAGGAAGAGCATCTGTAAAGTATAGTTTTGTTCACATGAAGTTCTAGAAAATGCACAGTAATCTGATAAAGAACAGTAAAGTGACTGACAAGGAAGTGAGGCAGGTTAGGAAGAATTAGGAAAAATGTATGAATGAAGCTTTAGGAGACAGAGGGCATAGTCACTGTTTCCATGCTTGGTGACAGTTTCACAACTGTATACTTACATCAAATGTTATGTAGTTGTATTTTGAATTGTATGATGATCATTGTATATCAATTATCATACCTATTTGTCACTATAGCTGTTACAAGAAAAAAAAGCCCAGGAACACTAAAAGTGCCATACTTTCCTTTTAGAAAGAACAATAAACATATTTCATAAACTTGTCTAGGACCCTTTATAGTCTGAAGTATACTTGTGTACTCATTGGTCTTGATGATCACTTGAGCCATTAAAGTGGAGCTACAAATGAATTACATGAGATGATGACATGAAAACTATATAAACCATAGTAAAGATGCTCCAATGCCATGTGCTAAGTGTACCCAAAGGTGTTTGCACCATAACACAAATGATTCTTCTTCTACTCCTGTAGCATCTTTTATAAGGAATTTCTGCTGACTTGTTTGTTTTCACTACTTTCTTTCATAATGTGAGATAAAAGAAGAAACCCCTTCAAGAAATTTCTGGCAGTTATGACCTTTCCCAGGGGAAGGCTGAAATTTAAAGGGCGAAATTTAGTTATTTCCACAACACTGATTACTATCCCTTTTCCTTTGGTAGCCCTGGGAATGTTTGTAGGAGGTGGTTGTTAATAGAGAATTGATTTCAGTGATGTTTAGATAGGTGCCCTCTGAACAGTATGTTTTCTTTTAAGTCTAACTATTTAGGGCTTTTTGAGACCTTTACATTCTTATTAAAATAGTCTATTGTGGACTGCTCTGTTATTGTTGCTAAGTACTGTCTAATCTTCAGTAGTTAGATTTGGCAGCACTTAGCAACTGTAATAATATTCTGCATCTACTTCCTCCTCTCTTTCCCCATACTACTAGGCTACTTTTTCAAATCCCTGTTACCTTTCCTTGGCCTATTGCAGCCGGCTTTAAACTGACCTCCTCTACTCTTTTCTCTTCTCCCCTTTATTCCATTTTTATACAGAGCTATCAGATTAATCTTTCAGAAACATTCATTTTTCTTGTTCAAAAATCTGTCTTCCACATTCTCTATTATAATACCCAAGGAGTAAAAACCCAATTGATAAACCTTTCAAAGTATGCATATAACTGATGTCTTCCAACCATCTCTCATGTCTACTCAGTACAAAAACCACCACTCATGGTTTACTGAATGTTTGCCGAAGATTTCCACTTTTGTAACTTTTATCATGCTATTACTTTGCTTCACTTTCCACAAAAGATGCTTTTTCTTTGTCAAAACTGATACAAAAGCACCCTTCCTAGGACTGATAAGATGGCTCAGTGGGTAAAGGCACTTGCTGCCAAGCTTGAGGACCTGAGTTTGATCCCTGGAACCTACATGGTAGAGAACAGACTCGCATAAGTTGTCGTCTGACTTCAACACGTGTTGTGGTAAGCAAACATGCAAACATGCAAACATGAACACACACAGACACACACAGACACACACATGCATATTAAACACATGTAAAAAACGTATCCTTTCTGGATATCCTCGATAGGATTCAGGAATATTCATATTCTCTCCTCTTTCTCAGTCTCCTCACTGCACTACAGCATTCATAACTGTCCATTGTCAGTATTATTAGTAGTGTGCCTTATCAGATGTATGTAAAAGCATGAGTTCTAGAGGGGTGCAATGTCATGTTAGAACAAAGTACTAAGTGTTGCAGAAGCACTCAAGAAGGGGCAGTTGGGGCAGAGGGGACAGATAAGCTGGAGAAAACTTTCCAGAGAGGTTGTGCTTGAGTTGCTGCATTAGCATATCAAGGTGTGCCTGTGTGTGTGTGTGTGTGTGTGTGTGCGTGCGTGCGTGCATGTGCGTGTGCGTGTGTGTGTGTGTGTGTGTGTGTGTGTGTGTGTGTTGGGTGGGAGAAGGGAAGGCAATTCCAGTAGAGGGAAAGGCATAAAACAATGTGGCACATTCTGAGACCTAGAGTTTACTCAGTGTGCTTGGGGCATGTGTGCAGGAACAACTGGGAGGTAACAATGAACAGATCACCCATGCCTTTTTAATGCTACATGGAGTCTACAGACAGTTTGGAGCTACTGAGGGCTTTAAGAAAGAAGGTAGGAGAGGTGGTAACAAGCCTTTTCCATCTTTTAAGGCAAAGGGAGCAATATTCGGCTTACACACTTGCTGCTACTGATGCGAATACTGTGATCCCTGGTCTCTGCGTTGGGCCTGGTGGGCACGATCCTCACCTCTAAACACTTACCAGAAAGATAAAGGGCTTTATCCACCATATACTCCTCAGCAAAGCGAATGTGACAGAAGTTCTTTTTGCTCTTCCGGATGGCAATGATCTCTCCGCATTGCTCAAATACTTCCACAATGATCTGTTCTGTCCCATTTTCAGGCAAGCCACCCACAAATACTGTTTTGCATCCTGGTGGTCTTTCTCGAGTTGCAGGTGGTGGCAGATCTAAATGTAAGGGAGAAAGCATCTGAATTCAAAATGTTTGCTTGGGACAAACTTCTTTGAAACTTAAATGCTCTCAAAGTAACCCAACTGTTCCCAAGAAACTTTGACCTCCATAGTGCTTGTCTCTACTCCATAGAATATTGACTGTATGAACCTGAAAATTAGTTCATTCAATGGCTTGCTGATTAGGATTGCTACTGAGCATAGACCCACACCTGCCCATCTGTTCCATGTAGAGATTATTAGTTCTGTTCCTTTTGATAAGCCAGAAATATCAAATTTTCCGTTGTTTTTATTAAGACAGTTAATGGGTGAAAATCCCATTTAATTTACCTTCTTAATTTCAGAGTTTGTACAACCAGAGTTCCTGAGAAAGGATTTGCTTACTTTAGATGGCAGTTACTATATTTTGTTTATGTTTACTGAAAGAAATGCTTCAGGAACAATTTGACAATTATGAGGTGAATATTGACAAAGGTAGTGATAGCTGTTAGGATGATTTGGTTAGTCAAATTAGAGTATAAAGAATCCTTTCACATTTTTTAAATGTTTTTTATATGTACAAATAAGCACTTCCTCAAATTCCTTGCCAGAGTAGTGAGGAGCAAAGTTAATCTATGCATTTTAAAAGGGCAGAAGAAAGACAGCAGGGACAGTAAATATGCCTGGAAAACCATTAACTAAAGTGAGATAAATCTGGTCATAGAGAGTCATTAGAAACCTCTCTAATGAGATGCTTCTCCCTCCACTTACAAAGTGCTTTCTACTCCTCATGCACATAAAGCCTGTTATCTGTCAGCTCCTTGTTACTCTGTATGTGTCAAATCATTTTCTAAGTGAAACCCTACAGTTCAAAGCCTGACAAAACAAAGCCTGATGGCCATGGGTTTTTCTAGTGTTGGTTTTATGTCTGCGAGGATTTTGTCTGTGTAATCCGTTCTTTCCATTCAGCTCTTCACAATTCTCCCAGCTCAAGAATTGGAGACCTCAACCACCAGTGATTATAGCTCATATGTGAAAACATGCAAGTCTCACTCACAGATTAGGCTGCAGCCTCTACCTGACTCCCATCCAAGTTGGCAAGCAGTTTGGTTTGGCGCTTCCTTGGGCATCAGTAACTCTAGTTTTCTTGCTTTGTTACTGCTGTCTGTCCTCCTTGGGTGTCAAGAATAATGTTTCTCATTATGCCATCTTGCCCTAGATTTAGTTGGTAAAGAGGGTAATAGGAGAATGCAAAAAATTTGCTAATTTTTAAAGTCTGTGACTTTAAGAACACATTTTTTTTTGCTTGTTGATTTCAGGGGAGAGAGAAAATGATCTAGTGTGTAAGAATCCGAACGGCCTCAGTTACAGCTACCAAGTAGGAGTGCCATTTTAGCCTAAAAGGCAATGATGAGGCTGAGAGTTGCTTCAGAACACTCAGGCTTTTGAGTTCTTAAAAACTGCAAAGTATTTAGCTATCACACATGCAGTTATTAACTCTGGCAGCATTAGGGAATCAACTTGGGAGTTACACAAATAATGCCAGGCCCCACCCCAATAAGTCTGTTTAATTAGCTCAGGATGCAGCCTGTGCATTAGCTTCTGTTGCTGTTTTCAGCTTCTCTGGAAGATATACTAAGTACTTAGGCTTGAAAACCACTGAGTAGACTAAATCTCTGATATTACAGAGAAAAATTCTTGATAGTTGTAGCTTATTCAAGGGCATCACATTAGATAAAGACAACTAAAACTTGGAGCAAGTAAACCCGGATTTAACTCTTAATATCTGTGGAAATCTGAAAAATGATGTAACTTCTAAAACTTCTGTTTTCCATTTTTACATAGGAATACTATTCCTTAGCATCCATGAAATTTTTGTATGACAACTGATTCTTTGTTGTCTATACAGAATGCTGCACACTGCCTAGTACTTCATAGTGGTCATTATAAGGTTAATTTGCTTATTATTATAGAACCTGGGTCTCCTAATCCCCAATTCGGACTTTCTAATAACCTACCACATATCTGGAGAAGAGCTGTAGCTAGGATTTGGACTTATGAAGTACATACATGCTCCCTTTATGCAGAGCCTTAGATAAATCTGGGCTTGAGGAATTTGTGGCAGTGAAGACACATACAGCGTTGACCATGGAACACAACCTAGCCGCTGTGCACATAGGGAATGATTTTGCAGATCATCTGTTTAGGTAGTTGTTTTCAAATAAAAGCTTTAGAATAATGTCCTAATTTAGAATAAAAAGGCTTCCGAAATTTACTTAAAGAAGTTGGATGGCAACCAATAATTTTGTGAAGTAAAAATCACCTTCGTTACATGACTTAAATTTACTTTAGGCCTATTGAGAGACCGAGTTATATGTGGTTACCGTGGAAGTTGCATTTAGCACCCAGAATGCAAAGACGTCATCCCTTGACTAATTTGTGGACTTTAAGAACTCTATGATGAAGGCATTATTTCGGTGCTGTGATTCTTTTGTGGTTACTTCTGTTATGTGAAAGGAATAAAAATCCACCAAGAATAATGCTAAGAACGCCAGGGATGTGTTTACTTTCCTTAGTAAATGTAGAAAATCTCTTTGGTAGCATTTGCTGAGATTTAAGTATATGCCTCTAAGCAGGGCCAAAGCCTGTATTATCTTCCTTAATGGATAGTACCTGTTTCCTAATTAACAGCTCAATGCACTTTGTTGTCTATGCTGATTTTCTAATCACACTGAAATACAGTGTACAGCAATGAAAACCCCTAGGAGAACAAATCCAAACTTTCCCTCTTCATCAGGTGATGTGATAAGCCCTGAGTGTCTAAATCATCACTCAGTATGGAGATAAACAAACAAACAAACAAAACCCCCAAAAAACTTCATGTAAAGATTCAAGATAACTGGCAATATAAAGAACTAATCTCTGGTAATGGAAAAGGAGGAGCTTCTGGTAATTCCAATTATACTCAAGCATACATTCTGGGGAGCTGGGTTACAGCAATCAATATTAGGATCAGGGTCATTGCTGGTCTTCCAGAAGTGATGCAGGGAGAAGCACAGAGCTCCTAAATACTATTTGCATCACATCTTGCCTTTAAGAAGAGCATCAGTGGCCACTGAGTTGGTCTGCTAGAATGTATACAAGGCCAAGTCTGTGAGTAGATTTTATTAGACAACCCAAGATTAAAAGCCTTGCAGACAATCAGCGAGGTCCAGATGCATTTTTAATGTAATCTCAGCTAATTGGAAACAATCAGAAGGCTTGAAAATTGTTATTAATGCTCAATTTACTAATTTATTTTAGTTCTCTATGGAATCTAGCCTTCAGAGACAAAATGGGTTCTGTGTCTTTTGATACAGTAAAAATAGGAAAATTTTTTTCTAGCTTCTGGGTATTTCCACTTGTCTGCACACGGGCAGAAGATGATCTTCCATCACTTACTTCCCATTTGCTATTACCTCTAATAGATTCACACTGTAACCTGTCCATACAGAAGGTGTGTAGCTGAAGTGAGAAACCTTGACAAAATTGATTTCTCTGTAGAGATGCTATTGTCCTCTTCTCTCATCACAAAAACTGTTAATTGGCAATTCAGTATATATCTGATAGCCACCCTGTGGAAAAAAGGATGCATGTTGCAGATAGCTATATTTTGCCATACCTTCAAATGCTGGGAGTCAGAGTATGTTGTTCTGGTGGGTAATCACTTGCCATTTACTTTTAGGAGGCTATTTCATGGTCTGCTCTCCTCTAGCAAGGCCCATTGAAGTTTTACACCTGGTTTGTTGCTGCCTACTCTAGATCAGAGAGGTTCAGTTACCTACAAACATCTCATGGCTGGAGGCCGAAAACTAGAGCTATGAAATCAGGCCTTTGTTATTTCAGAGCTCAAGCACTTAGGTGTTATGGTATACTGCTTCCTCCAAGCAAGCGTTTAGAAAGCTCTGTGCATTACTAACCAATCTTCTTTTGCTTTTCTAGTATATTTTGAGGAGTTTTACTTACAGAAATATTTCCAGTGGTAGCTTTTTAAATGTTGATAATCATAATTTTAGAGCTGAATGAAGTTGGGGGCTTATGGGCTAATCTAACTTGATATTCTTGTTTTATAGATAAGGAAACAGACACAAGGTAGTGTTATATGACTGGTCAAGGTCTAGTAGTTGGTTAGTGGGCAGAACACAGGAAAAGAATAGAGGATGGATCACTGGAATCAGCATTGTAAAGTCATTAGTTTTTTAAAACAAGGGTCATGTTGATAGAGATATAAGAGTAAAAGCATTAAAAAGGGATGTTAAGAGGTAAGGGGGAAGAATTAGAAACACCCAGCAAAGGGAAATTCTTTTGAGGATTTTTGCTGTTAAGGAGTACATTTTATGTAGATTCCTTTTGTGTGTGTGTGTGTGTGTGTGTGTGTGTGTGTGTGTGTATGTCTATGTGTGTAGGCTAGAGTTTGATGTCTAGTTCCCCTGTCACTCTCCACCCTATGTTTTTGAGACAGGGTGTCTTACTGACTCTGGCACTCATTAATTGGGCAGACTGGCTGGCCAGCAAGCCTCCTGCATCTGTTCATCTCTGGCTCCCAGTGCTGGGGTTACAGATATATGAGCATGCACCCAGTTTTTACATGGATTGCTAGGGATCTGAACTCAAGTCCTCATGCTTGCATGGCAATACATGTACCCGTTAAGCCATTTCCTAGCCCTCTCTTTCTTTTCTAAATTTTGAAATGTTGGGATTTGTCAGGATGTGGCATTTTGATATTCTTCATTATTGATTTATCTCTCTGGGTGGTTCAAGTCATTCTTTTTCCTCCCAATCAGTTTAGTTTTCAAGAAGGATGAATGGGTCACTAAATATAACAAAATATCACATATAACAAAGAGATAAATTATTAAAAAGCTTCCATTGGATTTGCTATCTGGATGTAAATTCATTAGAATGAGTCACTATAGATTAAATTTCAGTATCTTCCATGCTCAAAGTAGTAAGAGTACACTTGGAGAAGGGCTGGAGGTGAGTCAGAGTGCGAGGTGAGGATGCAGTTGAACTTGACTAAAGGGCAAGCACGTGGCAAGCAGAAAGGATGGACTGAAGGCAGGCATGAAGCAGAGCAGTGAAAGTTTTCTGGGGTCAGGAGTTAGACTATGAATCAAGAGCCTCAGGACAATGTTATGGTTCTATTTATGTGACAAGCATTTGGAAGAAGGTTTCTATGGCATAGGGGAAGGAAATCATTGCAAAAGTACTTTTTAATAAAGCAACAACACTTAGAAGCAGCATGGTTGGTGAATAAAGACATCGATTATTTTGAAGTCATAGTGTATTATTGCTGAGAGGTGCTTTGGGGTTAGAGGCCACTGAATACTACAGAATATACCAGTGATGGGTAGGAAGAAGCCGTGGAGCCTGTAATGAGGGCTTATAATAAAGCAGGCTTTGGGGGCCTTGCAGAAAGTAAGAGGTTCTCCCAAATTACCTGCCTGTTCCTCCTACCTTTCCCTGTTCTTCCCACCTTATCTTCACAAAGTCATCACTCTTAATAAAAGTGGCATTTGCCACATTTTCATGAAAGAACTAAGGGAGATGCCTCAGTTAGGGATTTCTGTCCACAATTAATCTCAGTCCCCCTTTAAGCAAATTCCATTTCAAAAAAGCAAAGAGAATACCTGTCTGCTTTAAGCTTCATTGGGAATGTTATTTTTGTATTCAATTTCAAAGGCAGGGTCACTCCCAGAAGCTACCCATTTACTGGTACTAATTGCCCTGTCAGTATTCCTTAGTACAAAGATGAAGAACTAAATGATTGGGCTGTGTGGGTACAATGCTGCCTTCTTCTTTGTGACCCTTACAACTCAGACCTAAGAGGGCATGGCTGCACAAAGAGAAAGATGAAAATGTACTTAAGAGATTTCTGTTTATTTCTTTTAATACAGACTATGAAGTTACAACCTCTTTAAGTCATATGATTTGACATGCATTCAAAGACTGGTTAATAATGTGGTCTATGCATTAAAAACAGGGCATTTGTATTATTCTTTGGAGATTTAGAAATGCAACACCCTTAAACTGAATAGCTACTGCACCCACCGTAGACATTACAGCTTATGAGCCAACCTATTAGCTTAGAGCTGACTGAGGTAATGAAAGTCTAGTTCAGGCTGCTCATGCCGTACATGAGTGATTAAATCAGCAGGACCCTGCCTTTTCAGTTTTAACAATGTCAATGCCTAAATTCATTTTTTAAGATAAAAAAGGCATTATTGGGACTGGAGAGATGGCTCAGTGGTTAAGAGCACTGGCAGCTCTTGCAGAGGACTCAGACTCAGTTCCCAGCATCCATGTGGTAGCCAAGTACCGTTCATAACTCTAGTTCCAGGGGCTCCAATGCCCTCTTCTGGCTTCCACGGGCATTGCATGAACATGTTACATTTATATACGTGCATGCAAAACTTTCATACACACAAAATTTAAATAAATAAATCAAAACAATGTTAAAGGCACTATCAGGGATATGCACCTTTCCCTAAGCCAAAAGCAATACACTGGAAGAAATGGAGAAAAGTCCAGTGCACATGTAGGACAGTGGAACTAAGAGTAAGAGACAGGGTATAACAACATAGCTTATTCAGCTCTACATCACACCTGCATCCAGAATGGCCATTTAAGGTGTCAAAATAGGGCTATGGAAGGATAGCTTATTCTCTGTCCCCTAATTCTTTTGGGGACATGATGTTCTTCTCCAGATACAGTCCTCTGAGATGCTGCTCTCCTAGCTTTCTTATTGGCCTGCAAAGATGCACCTGTTAACCATCCAGTTACAAATCAGGAGGCTCTAAGATCATTTTTCTTTAGCAAAAGTGGCCAACAAGATCTGTCAACTCAACACAGACTGATTGTAAAATCCTTTCAGATATGAGCAGGTCATACTAAATAGAATTCAGGTTCCTGCCAGTGTCTGATTCATGAATAACTGTCCCATTTAAGGTAGGGGATAAAATATTTGTCTGAAGACATGTTAAGGGTTCTTATTTATCTTGATGAGGCAAATTCATTTGATCAATGGTCTAAATGCCTGAATGGAAGATTTTTCTTTCCCCCTCAACTATAATAGACATTTTTTGCTGGGTAAAGTATTCTGGGCTGGCATCTGTTGTCATGTAGAACTGGAAATACCTTGGTCCAGGCTCTTCTGGCTTTCATAGTTTGCATTGATAAGTCAGCTGGGCTTTCCTTTGTATGTCACTTGTTTTTCTTTTGCTGCTTTCAGTATTCTCTCTTTGTTCTGTACATTTAGTGTTTTTACTATGATATGTCTTGGGGAGTTTCTTTTCTGGTCATGTCTATTTGGTGTTCTATGTGCTCCTGTATTTGTACGGGGATGTCTTTCCTTAATTTCAGGAAATTCTCTTCTACAGTCCTGTTTAAGATCTGGTCAATACCATTAACCTGAAATTCTTCTCCTTCCTGTATTCCTATGATTCATAGATTTGGTCTTTTCATGGTATCCCACAGCTCTTGCATATTCCATTCCCTGCATTATGGGGCTGTTGGATGGAGATGAACATCACTACAAATAATAAAAAGAACTGTAATTTAGATTTATCCAGTGGTAACTAAAACCATGACTTCTTGATAAGTACTTTGTATGCCTTTTAATTAATTAATTAATTTTTATTTGAGACAGTCTCATGTGTCCCAGACTGGCATTGAACTTGCTATGTAGCTGAAGATGACCTCAAATTCTTAATCCTTCTGACTCTACCTCTCAAGTGCTGTGATTCTAGGAGTGTGCATGCTTGGCCTTGTATACCATTTTTATTTACAAAATAATAAAATAAGTCATCATTGAAAAAAATGCCTGAATGGGTGTCTTAACTAACATCTCTAATCTTTGCACTATAGTGGCAGGGCTTTTAAAATAGGCCACGCAAGCACCACTAAGACTACAGAAAAACATTAATGGGGCTTGGGTCATGTTTCTAATCATTTCATGTATAGAAAGCCTGCCTGAAATGTATCTGGAAAAAAAGTTTGAGACAATTATTTTTGCTGATGCATTTAAATGAAACACAGCCACTCTAATATTACAGATATGTTAAATTAAGTCAACAGAGAAGCCTATTCTTTTTTTTTTTTTTGAGAAGCCTATTCTTTACTAACAAGGCAGATCCCTAAATCAGTTCCATATGGGTTACACTAACTGGATGGTTAAGTAGTCTGACTCAGTCTCAACATTCCTCTTTGTCCTTCTAGTAAACTAAATTGCACTTGGCTGTGTACTGTAGCACCTAAATTGAATAGTAGTTGGCGTGATGTGTGACTAGCTGGTATCAGTGAGGATTTTCATCACTCAAATGTACATTCTCATGCAATTCAGGTAAGCTCAGACCACACTCGGTCTCTGACATCACTAGTATATAGGAACAGTTATGAAAAGGAAACAATACAAATGATAGTGTTGAGTAATTTGTTTCAGGTGCCTCCTTCTGTCCCCAAACACATGCATTCCTCACCAGATGGCATTAGACACATTACATCACTTATACTGCAACCAGCACACAAAAATCTACTGTTCTGTACATAAAATTCAGCTTTGCTTAGTGAGAGAACAATTTTCTGTTTCTGTTTTCTAGACGAAGCTCCTAGATCTACATCCATGAAGTCCTTAGGTATTCTTTTGAAAAAGAAGACACAGTAAACCATTGTAACTTAAATAGGTTAAAAAATAGAATCATGGGGCTGGAGAGATGGCTCAGAGGTTAAGAGCACTGACTGATCTTGCAGAGGACCCGGGTTCGATTACCAGCACCCACATGGCAGCTACGAACCATCCTTAACTCCAGTTCTAGGGGAATGTGAAGAAGCCCTCTTCTGACCTCTGCAGCATTGCACGACATGGTGCAATCACATACATGCAGGCAATACACTCATACACATAAAAATAATTAAAAAAATAGAATCGTACTTGGGTTGGGAGGGAAGAGTGTGCAGCTTTTACAGTGTATGATCTCCTTTGCTACTGGCATATCTGGAGGAATTGGTGGTGGTACTATTCCCAAACCAGGCATCATTGGAGTTATTGGTGGAATTCCAGTCATCATTCCAAGGGCAGGATCAAAGTCTGGAAAAGAGGACAAAAGAAAGAGCAATAAATGACAGCAGGCCAGGTCAAATGGAGGTAGCATCAAATGACAAAGTTTTTCTATGACAGATGCAAAAACAAACAAATACCTCTTGTTGCTTAGCATTCTCACTCTTAATTACAGCTGTGCACTTTCCTTTTAGGACGCATGCGTTGGTTTGACCAGGGTCTATATAAGTCTCTGAATGTCTTATGATACTCAGCATTTTTCATAACATTACTGTGCAATGTCTAGTGATCTTACCTCCATTACTTTCCAGTACACACTCTTGGTTTCATTCTGACAAGGCTTCTTGCTGGCCCTTGTGACATTTCTGTCTTTTTATACTACTGTGTTGTGATAAGAGTACACAGTTGGGGGTCAGGGAGATGACACCTACCATTTGCTTTTGCAATATGAACTTTCATTTTTCTCAACTGCAAAGTATGGTACATATCTCCTACCTTGCAGAAAGCTGTGAGGAGGGAAGAGAATGATGAATGAAATGTGCTTAGTACAATGTACAGAACAAAATGGCTCAACCAGTAACTACTCTGTGTGTCTTTGTTCGTGTTATTTTCCCTGCCTGGGATCATTTGAGACTGAGTTCTCCTCATGCTTCAAAGCTTATGTCTCATATCTTTAAAGAGCCCTTTATAGATTATTCTGGTGTATTCTTAATTCTGTGTCTAAAAACTATTTGTTTTATGCTTGTTGCCAGTGAATTTTATTTCATATTGGTGTTTCTTTGTTGCTGTTGCACATAGGGATGGTTCTTGGAAGTGTGAGGATATCCAAACATTTTTTTCATGTGTGGTTTATCTGTGTATACAAACTGATTCGCCACAAATCAGCATCACCAGCATTCTGATGGCACAATCTCATGAGATACCATGAAAAAAAAAAAACGTATTACTGTAGCCACTGGAGTCATTTATTTGTTAGACCATCATCATCTTGGCACGTCTGGGTGATTCTATACCTATAGGGTAGAGGACTAGAGTACCCCAAATGAGATAAATTGAAAGTGGGGCCAATAGGGACCTAGTGTGAGATTGGAATACCTCATTCTGATAACATTGCCAACTCTAATCAGTCCTTGACATGGGAGGGGTACTTAAAATTTTCAAGAGAAATGCTTCCACTGGGAGGAATAGGCAGATCCTTCTCTGGACTTGGTAACTGCCTTGTGGTACTGACTTCCTGGTCAGTGTTCAGTACCAGAGAGGGACTTAGAAAATATCAAAGTAAGTATTTCCAAAGCATGGGATCCCCCCTCCTCAACCCATAAGGAACAGACCTAGGACAAGGGCCTCATTTGACTGAATGTAAGAGTTTCATTGTCTACATCTTATTTCTCTATAAAAATGAAATTTCTTTGTGAGGACCTTCACTGTATTTCTTTATTTTCCTACCTCCTACATATAGCTCACTATAGACATCCATAAGTATACTGAAAACAAAGTTTTGTAAAGTAGGGGCAATTGCATTAGCAGCAATGAACCCCATTTCCAAAGACTTCACTTTGCTCAACATACAGGTCAGAGGGGTAATGACTGTAAGGATGTCCTTCAGCTAGCCCTGAGGTTGCTGGGTGGTTTTCTAAGATACTGGAGGAAGTAGATATAAACAGCACAGGGTCTCAGGGGCTCAGTGGCTCAGTGGCTCCAACAGAAGCTGAACTTTAGCCTTACCATGCCCACGATGAGGGAGTCCCGTGTCTGAGCAAGCTGGTGCCATCTGGGCATCCTTCCTTCATTTATTTATTTATTTATTTATTTATTTATTTATTTATTTATTTATTTATTGGTCTTTTTTAGACAGGGTCTCCCTGTAGCCCCACCTGTCCTGGAACTCATTACGTAGACCAGGCTGGCCTTGAACTCACAAAGATCCGCCTGCCTCTGCCTCCCAAGTGCTTAAAGGTGTGTGCCACCACACCTGGTGGGCATCCTTTATTATAAGGACAATCCAAGCAAGCTAGGACCTCTTTGTCTTCTCATGTCTGTCTTCCTGAGATGCTAAGACCCTCAAATGATTTAGCAAGAAAAAAATTCTCCCACAAGTTATTTTATTTTATAAAAATACTTTCAGTCCTCTCATGTTATCCCATCCAACATGCAGGCATCCACATATATCCTCACTCTCCTGTGGCTCTCATATCTTTATTCTCATGCACCCAGCAGTATGTGACCTTGATGAAAGATTTTAAATATCTCTCTGCTTCCATTTCTTTTTTTGGTGAAAGTGGGGACAAGTAATGAAATTCAGTTCAAACAATGAAAGAACAAAACAGATATGAAGACCTCTGGCATGACAGTCCTCATTGGTAAGCTCCTCCCTTCTATGCATAATGTGGAAACACACACTGATCATCTCACTGGTTTGGACATTCATGATTACATTCTGCAAACATTTATGGCATGTTTTCTCTATGCCATAATCTATGTGGGGGCTAGGGAGGGTATCCGGGTTGCCTTTCGGTTTTGGAGAACTTAAGGACCCTGACCCCGTGTCTTGCTGTGCCACAGAATAACGAAAGTCTGATTCAGAATGCCATTTGTGTCTTTTGAAAATTTGATTCCTTGTGTAGAAGATTTTAGAGAAACTGTTAACATTATCTCACCCATTTACAAACTGTTAATTTTCTTTAGGAAAAGATCAGATTAGATTGTATGACAACTAAATCTTCCTGGCTACTGAAATGTTTGTCTTCCTTTTATTGTTCTGCCTGCCTCTTCATTGTTATTCATATAGCTCTGTCACTCACAACTCTACCTTACCACAGACTACAGAAACATCACTTCATTAAACAAATTCTGCTACTTCCACTGAGAAGGAAATGCCTGTCTCCATGTACTGTCTACTAATAAATGGAGACAAATAAACAAATATATAGGGTAATATAACTCCTGACTGATGTACTCACCACTCTGCAGTTTGGTATGATTGCATTAATATTTTATAAATTCATTTAAAAGCAAATGTATTCATGGCATATGGCTAAAGATAGAATAGATAAACACCCTTTCTTCCTTTTTGTTCAATATGTCAAGAGTTCTATAGGCTATGCTGTCCAGCAGGGCTTGCTAGAGGGCAAGTTGTACATGACATTTCCAAGGTTCCAATCACACTGATTACTTCTTTTGTTTATTTTTAACCATTAAGTTACAAAGTGGACATGGATTTCTAATGCCAATAGGGAGAAAAAAACCCAATGAAATCTTGTTTTTTTTTTTAATATGAGCATTTCAGAATCTGAAGAATGAAAGTCTAATTTAAAATATATTAGAGAGTAGAACATAAAAGAAATTCCCTCCTTTTTCCTGGCTCCTAGCCTAGATTGAGAAGTATTGCCAACATATATATTATTGCTTCTTATTATTAGGAATCCAAACTTCTGGAGATTTGAAATCATACAAAAGTGTTGTGGAAAAGGCCAACATATTCCTCCAAAGTCCATTTCATTAAAAAATTCCCTGTTCAGTTTTGCTTTTATTATCTTTTCTTTTGTCACCCATTTCCTAAAGCCTTTTTGACTCTTAGAACAGCTACTGCTGGAAAGGTCATAAAGTACTGCATTGTACACCTCCTGAGTTATATATTTTCCAAACCCCCACCCTATTGGAAATGCTGCCAATTCTGTGTTAGCTGGGAAGCTTTTTGCTCAGAGCAAGAGTTGCAGTTCTTTCGGACTTGATGGCCCACACCTTTGATCCTAGCACTTGAGAGGCAGAGGCGGGCAGATTTCTGTGAGTTGGAGGCCAGCTTGGTCTACATAAAGAGTTTCAGGGCAGCCAGGGCTACATAATGAGACCCCGTATTAAAAAAAAAGGGAAAAAAAAAGGTTGTGTCTCTACCCACATGATTTCAAGTAATGCAAGTAATATTTCAGTATAGACAACTTTTCCTACTGCCTAGCAACTTGTATTTACTGAATTTGGTAACACTGTCATATACGTTAAGACCTATCGAGTCAAGCTTTTGTACCCTGATATCCCTTGGTGCAAGTTCATCCACTGGAATCTAGTCAGCCTATTTAGAGTCACTCCCTTAAAGAAGATTAACTCTCCCTCACCCCAAAGTAATCATTAGTTCCTAGGCTAAGTTTGGGGCCTGCTGCCCAATTCCCCAGCTTGATGCTGGCTTTTTGTCTGATTGAATCTGAGTCTTGTGCATGCTGTCACCACTGCTGCAATAACCAAGGCCTAGAGGCTGGAGGGAAGAGACTGAGTGGACCTACTGCTTCAGGCTTTAGAAGCCAAAGACTTATGGCTCTAGTCATTCAGGTTGGAAGCTAATTGCTTTAGGCTTTAGTCCCCAGTGGCTCTGGCACATAGTAGCAATTGTAATCCTTAGTTAACAGCAGCACTCGGTGGTAGCAGCAGTTAACTGCAGACAGTGCCTTCTAATGTTGCACGTTTCATACAGGCTTTGGGTACCGGGACCCTCAGTTCTACAGTGACAATTGTTACAGCCCTCTGACCAGAGTATTGAGCTCTTCAGCTGCCGATAGCGACATGTGTACAGTGTTTGGGTCTAAGGTATCTGACGTCCTTAGCCCTTAAAGCTTGGCAGCTATCCTGAATTCTTGCAGTGATCAGGGCCCTCGGTCTCTCATCTGCAGCTCTTCACAACTTCCATTTTCTTTGATGCCTCTGTTTTCTATTGTTTCTGCCTTAGCCACTTTGGAACTCCAGTTGTTCTCTTGTTAACTGCTGTTGCTGCTGTCCTAGTCTCCTTTCTTTGTGTTACCAGCTCAGTTTGCTTTGCTACTGATAAAGACCAAGCAGTCAAAAGAAAAAAAAATACCACTCAAGGGAAGCCTTTTATTGGGCTTAACATTGTAATACCAGGGATGGCATAGGAGGGTGTCTCCCAGATTACTACAAAACTAAGCCAAACAGTCTGCTTGTGTAGTTGGAAAGGGTATGGATCAAGGGAGCTTGCACCAATCATGGTACTCCTTGGTGGAAATGAAGGAGCATGCTTTCACCAA